AGAAAGGATATGTGATAGGTAGGGTTTTAGTTGGGGGGGGTGGTAGTGGTAGGGGAGGGAGAAGGAATTGGGATTGACATTTAAAACAATCTTGTTTCTAATTCAAATTTAAAAAAAGGACAAAATAATAATAATAATAATTCTGACTGTCCTGAAACTCACTTTGTAGACAAGCTGGCCTTGAACTCACTGAGATCCGCCTGCCTCTGCCTCCCGAGTGCTGGGATTAAAGGTGTGTGACACCACGACTGCCCTGATGAAATTAAAAGCATGTACCACAACACACAACCCTAAAGCCTTTTTTATTTAAGATTTATTTATTATGTATACAGTGTCCAGCCAGCATGTATGCCAGCAGGCCAGAAGGGGGCACCAGATTCCATTATAGATGGTTGTGAGCCACCATGTGGTTGCTTGGAATTGAACTCAAGACCGCTGGAAGAACAGCCAGTGCTCTTAACCTCTGAGCCATCTCCCAGACCCCAACACCGTTTGATTTAAGCTATCAGTACACTGGCAATTTGCAACAGGAACTCAAAAGAGAAAATAGAAAGCAATATAAAACCTTAAATCTTTCTTTCTTTTTGGACATAGAGTCTTAAGCTTCCCAGGCTAGCCTCAAAACTCTGATCCTCTTGCCTCCACTTATCAAATAAGACTATAGGTTTGCACCACTATATCTACCAACCTAATGTTTTCTTTTGTACATTCCACTTACTATTGTGGCTCTGTCTCCCTTACTAGATGGTAAGTAAGGGAGACATATAGTAACTTAAAAAACAATGCAGAATAAACATGACTGTGCACACAAAGCTGGGGCATATGAAGGAACAGAACAACATTAAGAACAAGTTTAGCCAAGTACTCAGCAAGTTCACATTTTACCAGTTTCTGATGTTATGGTGTGCATAGTAATTTATTAAATGCTAAGAAGAAACATATGACTGACATATAAAAATATACAGGAAGAAAGCCAGGCAGTGGTGGCACACGCCTTTAATCCCAGAACTCGGGAGGGAGAGGCAGGCAGATCTCTGTGAGTTTGAGGCCAGGCTGGTCTACAAAGCTAAACAGAGAAACCCTGGAGGGAGGGGAAGGAGGGGAGAGAGGGGAGGGAGGGAGAACAGCAATAATGTTGGAAATAAAAAGTAAGCTAAGAAAGAAGGTTTGTTTTGGCAGAAATGCAAGTTCTGACTAAAGCTAAGAACTCAAGTGTCTAAGAATTCAAGTGTCTCAGATCTGCAAAGAAGCCTGATATGTCCAAGAAAAAACACAAAATCATCAAATTTTCCAGAGTACCTCAGCC